GACTTTGGATTGTCGCGTAACGTGTACGCCGAGAAAGTGTACCATGCTACAAAGAACAGAAAACTGCCAATCAAATGGATGTCCCCAGAAGCCATACATGATCAAGTGTTCACGGCAGAGAGTGACGTGTAAGTTTAAAAGTATCAGGTGAGGGTAGTCGGTGAGGTTTCTTATCAACGGTTTTACTCAAATCCAAGTCTGAGCCGCTACATTCGGAGTTTGCTGATTTGGAGCAGCCCTAATTAAAGATATTCTAGCATTTTTAGTCGCTACAATTACTGTTTTGAAATACGGTTTGGCGACAAACGTAATGGGAAAATAAATAATTCGCTCACAGTTCAAAAGTGACCTTGTAACATGTTGACTAAGATGTCAATTATTAATTGACATCTTAGTCAAAACGTTACAACCTCACCTTTGAACTGTTTAAATAGTTAATTTGTCACTGATATAGCGTCATATAAAGTCTGAGCTTTCCTTCTTTTCTATTGCATCACGTGACAATGAATATTTGGCTCAGGATGGAAAATTCCCTTCAGGGAATAACCAATAACTGAGAATCTGATAAGGTTTATCTCATTTATCTCATCAGGTGGGCGTATGGTATTCTACTTTGGGAGATTTTAACAATCGGTACGTAGCATCTCTTTCTTTCGAATCGTCTTTTTAGAATCTATGTACTTTTGACATACATACCGACATACATACATACATTGACTTCGTTGTTAAGTTGGCCTAAAATCATGAGTTTCAGGATTCACAGTTTTTTAGGTTTCTTTGCAATTGCGCATGCAAAACTATACTACTTTTAGAAAATAGCCCAAAGAAAATAGGCGCGCTGATTGGTTTAAAATCGTGTTTCTATTTAACAATAAGATTATGAGATAGAGATTTCTATCACGTGATAGAACTCGAGAGCAAATAATCTACTTGTTTTAGTATAAATCTACTAGTCGTTCAAAACTTTATCTGAATCTTCCACACAAACACTTCAAAAACGCAAATAAGTGGCCGTCATTTTGTTAACAAGCGCAAACTGCTACGCTACTCACTATCTCCAACAGAATAGATTGTGAATAGCGTAGCCAATCAGAGAAGAGCATTCGTCATAGAACGCTAGTAGATTTATACTCAAACTCAATAGAAACACGGTTTCTTTATTTCTTTTAGAAAATTCCTCGACGTAAAAGGAAACGCAATTTGTTTACTTTGTAATGGGCTCGGGCGACGCCCGCAACTATCACGCGATAGAAATCTCGATCTCATAATGTAATTGTTTAATAGAACACTCGTGGAAGTTTGGGAGACCTCAAAAATCTGTGGAAACACTCGCCAATTAGCTTGTGTTCTCAAAGCTTTTCTTGTTCTCCCAAACTTCCACGAGTGTTTCTATAACTCGATAGAAACGCGGTACATGTTTTCTATTTCTTAAATAAACACAACTGCTTGGATCAGTTCATCACTCCATGTTCTACCTGGCTGTAGTTTAGAGAGGCTATGAATGATCTCACTTCAGCATCACTTGTCGGGCATATTACTCAACTCTCCTCCAAGACCCGCTGTACATGTATCGCTATGGATGTAGAACTGCTTTAAAATAACATATTAGACATATTAATGTGTGATTATAATGATCAATGAACTTACCTCTGATCTACAATGAACAAGCTAGTTTCCAGGACTGCCACTCACTGGACATCTACAAACATGACCGAGAATTGAAATCGGGGCTACCAATCACAAATGTAGCTAGTGGAAGGGGAGCGGACTTGAGTTCGGAATTTCCGAATTACAACGCTATCAACGCCTTAAACAACATGCTATCGATATCTCGCTGCCCCATAAACTGATCTTTTCTTTCTTCGTGTCTAGGTGGGACGCCATATCCTACCATAAGTAATTATGAACTTTTTGAGGCTCTGAAATCTGGATACAGAATGGAAAAACCACAAATGTGCTCGGATGAAATGTAAGCGTTCTTTTTATCTTGCACCGTTCTTTTCATGAAATGATAACTAACACCTGCCACTATTTTTCTCAGGTATGACCTAATGCGACAGTGTTGGAAAGAAAATCCCGCTGAAAGGCCTTCATTCACTGTCATCCGGGAACAACTTGAACGGATGATGTTACAGCATTGTCCTTATTTGGATATGGCTGACGCACTCTATAGTTACACACCCCTTTATGACGCTGACAGTGACAAAGAAACGCAAATGGAAAGTACTACTTTGTAATTTACATGCTGGTTTGCATGTAAGTGTTTTGGATTTGATGACAAGTTGGCATTCTGTACGTTTCTCAGTTGTTGTTGTTTCCAAAGGAAGGCTTGCGGTGTCTTTTCCAGACAAAACAAATCTTGTTTCTACGAAATGTGCCCAACAAAGTCAGCCCGACAAATTAATAATAGCGAAAACAATGAGCACCACAAAAAGATCCGCCACTTCATCAAGAAATATTTCATTTCAGGGAGTATAAAGTGACATTTCGCAAAGTAACATGAAGTACCATTTCGCAAAGCACCTCAGAGGGCCATTTGGAAAAGTACCAAGCTATATATATATTTGTCAACGTGCAAATTTACATTTCGGAAACTTTCTTTAGTACCATGTGTTAAAGTGACTAACATCATTTCGCAAACTAGCAATTAAAATTTTGTAACGTATGACTATCTTGTAATAACATTTCCTAAGTAGGGAACACTGTCCAAATGTTAATAACTATTATTCGTCATGGAAACTAACGTTAAAATACAATTTTTGTCTTGCGCTCTTCCATTGAAAGAAGCAGCTGTCGTGGGCTGATTTACTCTCTGAGTGACTCAGAATAAATGAAATTCGATAACGACGCAAGAGTAAGACTATCGTCAATGCTGTTAATGTTCAGTTTATTTCGCCCCTTCAATGAAACCGGCAACACTGAATCAATTTCCAAGGAAGTCTATTTTAAGCATTTTTGCACCACCAGCAACTCCTGGATTTTTCGATACAGTAAAGCATTGTTACCACCGGAAACGAGGAAAGTTGCCCGTGGAATCACCGTGATTTTAAGGTGATTCCCTAGTAAAAGAACCCCCTATAGATTTCAGATGAAACTTGGTATGCTGCTGTTACATGACAAGGATATATTACAAACGTAGTAAAAAAGAGGGGGTCACCGTGCGTAATCTCCGTGCGCAACAAATAAGCTCGATTATTTTTCAATGTAGCGTGTTATATCACACAGTGTTCGACTTTTTTTTATTGTTTATTTATCTACGTCCCAGAAAAAATGTCTTCAAATACCCTGCATTTTTTTTATCCTTTAAAGAAAACATAATTTGGACATACGTTGTTGGGCCCGTTATGTCTCCCTCTGTAGTATTTATTTCATTTGCCAAAAAAGTAGCCATAGATTTCCGCTAATTTTTTTTCTCAGTTATTGAGGATATTGAAATGATGAAATAAAAAGTGTGGGTCACCATGCTCGTTTAAGAGAAAAGGAGCATTTATTTCGGTATCGAGCTTAGTTTGAGGGAAATCTCTTACGTTTTTGTACGCGCAAGTGCTCATGCGCTCGCGCTGATGACGCAAAAATCGTGAGCAGGGATACGCAATGCAATACTAAGAAATCACTTTAAGGTCAAAACTTCGTCACCAAAGCTCCGTCGCGCCTTACTCAACTGATAATCGTAATATTTTGCTTTGCATTCTGGGTCTTGTCTTTACACAGGGGTGCCAAGCTCACGTCTCGAGAAAAGCGAAACATAAATTAATTCTCGGACACGTACGTAGTTATTCCTGAAAGCGTCACGTGCGCATTGTGTGAGTCCAGGGCGGAAGGATTCCTGGTGTGTCTAAACTGACGGGGTGTTAGGTTACGCGAGGAGCCGTTGAGGATTTGAACGCTATTTAGGGATTGTATGGAGAACGAAATATGGTCGATCTACAACGCTAAATATTCCGAAATATGAACATTTTACACGTAAGATTAATAAAACGTACTTGCCGTCACTGTTTTTTCCTTCATAAGAGAGTCAAGGCTGCACAGTACGAATTCGACCGTTGTCCACGCAAAAGCGGTTTGCGCACAGAAAATCCATCCGATGGGCATTTTTTTCACCCACAGTTTACGATCTAAAGTCATTGCACCCTCCCTGCAAATGTCTCATTTCCAAAAATCCCCGCGCATCACGTTGAATACGAGCGTTTTATACAAGCATTTCCAAGTCCGCTTCTTAGCACAACAGCTCGTGATGTCTTGATTGGACAGGGCCGCGGAACAGGCTTTGGTCCAGGGTCAATATTCTCTCTACCGAGGGTAGTACGGTCAATTTATGTACAATTTATGTGGTCTTTACCGCCATCGCGCCTAATCTGGGATCTTAAGTCGCCACAACATTGGGCGACTTTAGGCGATTTCAGGCCTCTTTAGATGACTTAAGCAAAATTGACAAAAAATATTGCGATTTTAGGCGACTTAAAGCTACTTAAAGCGACCTAAGGCGACTTAAGGACCTTAAGGAGGTCTTATACTCTCAGACATAAATTTTCTCCAAAAAGCATTTTTTCGGAACATGAAGATTCAACATTCCTGTCCATTTGTAAATCGTATTTTGAAGCGGTTTTCCTCTAATTACTCCTGGATTTACGTTTAAATTAAGAAATCTGAACACCTCTAGCTATATTTCAACATAGAAACACTCATAGCAACCATTGTTTACAGTCTAAAAGTACTCACAAAATGAATTCAATTCAGTACATTTTAATGATACTTTACACAAACGCGTTAAAGATGTAGTTACGAGAATTTTGCATTATGATCCTGAACATTGTTTCTTCTATCATCTTATACGCTCTTTATACTTGGTTAACATTTCTATGACTGGTGTATTCGGGTGTTGAACTTCAATAA